GTTGTCAAGCTGTCCTGATTAGTGATGCCAACTTCTATCAGGATTACTTCGCGTCGCATCTTATCGTGTATCATAATAACCGGTCGATCCACTTTTATTCTGATTGCAGTTTTCACTCGCATATCGACTGCAATCTAAACGTTCTCATTTGCGACAACCTCACGAGTAGAATGGCCTCGCAAACGCGGGGCTTTCAGACCATACTTGCAGAGTCTCAAGTGGATGCATCGTAAGACCTAACTGTGCCTTTTATATACGACCTTTATTTGTTGCTTTTAAGTTTCTTAATTGCTTCAGAAGATTCAATATTATTTTTAGAAGTATCTCATTCCAGGAGCGGTCCTTATCATGTTAAAATATAAGGATGGGAAAATACATGCAGCAATATTGTGAAGTAAAATAACATTGTAACTTTTGAAGCTAATCAAGTATTGTCAGAAAAGAAGTACTTAGTTTACTCGCTAATTTAAGTCACTAGTCATGATAGCAGCGTGTAAGAATTTCAGAACATCTTGAAGAACAAATGTGCGGATTTGAGGCCCTCAGGTTTTCGAAATAAAGGTTTGAGATTAACTTCATTTTATCATTTGTGATGTCTCGTCATCGTAGTAAAATGTAGCTGATAAGAGAATCGTTGTCACCTGTTTGGTAAGTTTTCTGTGTCCATTTCGTGAATATTCAGCTAAATTTAAGATGAAATAATTTGAGCACTAACCAAATACAAATCGTGAAATTGATCTAGATGAAATTTCTTTAGATTAAAATTGTAGCTAAAAATATTTCTAGATATCAGACAATATTTTATAGCTTATCATACAACAAGTCAAAGAATAAATCGCGCAAACTATCCATGCGAAAGCAATAAAAAATGAAAACTCTTGACTATGAACCGCATCGGATTATATTTTGCATCACACAAACTGTTAACATTTTTTAAAAAGTGGAAAGAAAGTGAGCCAAACCTTGAACAACTATTTGCCACTGTACCAGTTACACCTGTAAAAAATGAATTATTTAACAACATATACGGAGAATTTCTGATGTTACGTTTTTCGGTTCATTAAAAATAATAATATAAAGTGTATGTAGAAAATACAAAAATATAAAAGCAGGTGCGCAAAAAGATTTATAAATTCAGAAGCACAGTAAAAATAAAATTGTAAAATGCAAAACACATAGCCACAGAATGCGTTGTGAAACCTTCAGCAACACGTCTGATGAGAAGCAAAAAATCATTAAATACTTTATTGCATAAATCTTGATCTACAAAAATATGCGTAAAAACTGTAATTCCATGTAGTTTCTTAATTTGAAGATTAGTTCAGTTGATAAGTTCGTAAACAAAATTGTTTACAGATAAATGTTAACTCATTTTTGAGTTGAGAGAGAATTATTTTCATATTTATCAAGTTTCAAGAATTAGTCAAATTTGCTCAGAATCTGATGAAATGTTAATCACCTAAGAGTTTCTACATTTTTTCATTTGCGTATGCTTATATACTTCTCACACAATTCGCTGCATTTAAAATGAAAAGACATTTCCTCAAATAAATCAACATCTTACCGTAGATTAATTAGAATGTTTAGTTTTCGAGTTCTTCTGGAAGTACTTATCATTCATAGTCGATGTTTAAGTTCATAATTACGTCTTAAAGTCAATCCATATTGAGTTTAGCTAACGACTGGATTTAATCCATAGTTTGCAAAGTGAAATTGACTAATTAATTATATTTTTATCGCTGAAAGTTGTAAGTGCACAAGTTTTGTTGTAATAATATTTTGCTTGATGATATACTACTATTTTATGTTCTTGAAAAATAAACATTTAAATGGTAAAGTGTGGTGACCCATGAAATGAATAAACATCACAATGATAAGGTGTAATATCGCTGCATTTCTTCGAAAATTAGATTTTATGTGCACTGATTGTTTTGCAAATATGGCTACTTTTGGAATAATAAGAGTAAAATGCAAGCAATTAGTATTTAATATTGTAGTAACTAGTATTTAATATTGTAGTACTAGCAAGTAATTTCTGCTTATAGAATTTGAAATACTATGTGAGTCAGTGTATGTTAACTTTTCTGTTTAAACTTTTGTAAAACTCTGAAATTTACATATTACTATGATTGAGCAAACCAGTAGCTTATTAATACTTTTTGCTAAGGAAGCAGTGATTCGTCACGTGAATATGAAACAAACTATTATAACAGTCTAGAATAAATTTGCTTTGTGCTAACTTCATGAAAGTTATTCTAATAAGTAGCTGTTTCCATGAACTGGCAATTCTGCAGACATTACCCAAAAAGCATTTTATTAACAACGTACTTGAAAAATCTTATGATTATGTTTAACTTGTACATTTGTTATGCTATTAGTATACTTTCACAGTTGTGCTATTTTTTAAATTGTATTATAAACGCTACTTTGGCTAATTATTGCGAATACTTATTTCAACTCCATTAATAATTTAGCAAGGATTCACAAAAAGATTCAAATATTTCTTAGGTTTTGCAATATTCTTAGCCATAATAATACAGATCTGGAACACATATATACTTCACTTCCTCAATTATTGATTAGCACCGTATTTATAAAGTTAAAATTTAATAAATTTAAATGAAACTGTCTCATGATGAAATTTTCTGATTCAGATATCATTTCATTATCAAAGGCCCAAAATATACCTGCATACGTTTAGGAATGTGGCGAGCAAGAGAAGAAGGTACTGAAAATTATTTTCATTATATTTGTATTGCATGTGTAATTATTAATTATTTGACCTGTTGAATAATAAATTTGCGTGCTTGCATATTTGAAAAATTATTCGAAATTTGGAAAATACTGAAGCAAGACTAATTGGTTGTGATCATTTGAGTCATATGAGAGAGAAAATTATTAAGCTAACCTTGTTGTTCATATTTTATTTTGATTATAAATTTTTATTGAAACAGTTGTTTTTGCTGTAAATTGTAGTTCATGGGCTAAGACATAAATTCTTTCCATACTTTCGATATATACAGATAAAGATCAATAATGAAACCAGTACATAAATATTAAGTGGCATAAATTTGACGAGCTGATGGTTTTTTGCTCATAAGCTCTACTCAATAAATTTTAAGGACTTTTGAAGCAGTCCAGACGTGCTAAGATGGGATACTGGGTTGCTGCTGTAAAAGGTGGACTAAAAAATCACAATCAAGTCTCTACTGCTGTAGGAAATAAAATTTATGCAATAGGCCAATCTTCCAATTCACATGGAGTGGAAAATGCAGACCAAATTTTAAGTGTTCATGTACTGAGCACAGGTTTGATTTGTTCCCTTATTAAACTTTAAAAATTTTCCGTTTTTCTGAGAGTTATATTTGGGAAATATTTTCCGGAACTTTTTTAATTCAGAAGTAAATAGTATGAACTGCTTTCATAGACGAATTACGCTGGAGTAAAGTAGAAGCTAAAGCAGACAAGCACTGTGTATATGATCGATCATGCCGATCTGAAAGGGCAACTCAATTATGTGGAGGTCTTCCAGTACAAAGAATTGGTTACACTGCTGTGACCTTTGAAGGAAAGATTTATATGTGGGGTGGATGGAATATAAAATTTGTGGTATGTTGTAGGGTGTACTGCTTCGATCCAGGTGACTAAGCGTTTACTTGAAAAATTAATCAATAAATAAATTATATACTTTATCAATAATCTTACAGCAACGGAAGTTTGGTCTATTATTCAAAGTGTTAACACAGCACCTGCACGTTCATACCATAGTGCCGTGGTATACAAAGATATGATGATAGTATATGGTGGAATCGTTCATACAAGTGATCAGTAAGTTAGTTTTGGGAGAAAATGGTTTTTTTCTGTTTTGATAAATTGTGAGCAGTGATGTCTGATAGTGGGTAAAAATAATGTAAGATGAATATTCCAGGTCTAATCAATATTTAGCGAGATTTAAATCTTATGGTCAGTGACTAAAATCCGTCAGCATGCCTAAAGCCTCATGACATTTACATTTAAGAGCAAGTATGAGATTCACTGCATGCATGCAGTTCTTGGTCTCTTTTGGATTTTATACCTTCAGTCATTTTACCGAGCAAATATCGCCCAATGACCATTTTATGAAACCTTTTCCACTGCTGAGTACGCGTTGTGAGTCTTCTGTTTCAAAATCGCCATCCTCTTAATAGATATGGGCGCGATTTCTACAAGCACATTATGAAGCTTATACATGGCTTCATAAGTTTCCTCCCTATTCCGATGGCTTGTTCCTGCCTTGTCATCTGTTCACAACATTGTTGCGCTACTTGATGTTGTCTTCCAGTGTCAGTCGTTTACTTTGGAGGATTCCATGTAGCATATTCACCTACCGCCTAGTTAACTACTCCAAGTATGAGCGGGTCAACGTTCTCCGAGATTATTTTCCACTCCCACTTTGTCTCATGTCCGTAGGATAGACGAGCATGAGCACGAGATACTTCTGCTTTTTCAATTTCTTTCTTACTTTTTCAATTCTTTCTTGAAGGACCGCTTTCAGCACCTCTATTGGCCATCTGCTCTATGGAATCTGGATTCCAGGGAGGAGTGTTCCGGACGTAATTATCTTGCTAGTGCTTGGTGCCGGTACACTGGCAAAGTGCTCTCTCACATCCGTCACGGAGTTTTTCTCTGCAGTTTGATCTGTTTCCCCATTACTTTCTATTGTGATTCCAGATGCAGGCAGTTTTATTTGTGCATCTTCCATTTCCATTTCAGACTTTTCAAATTCCGACTGTAAATTAACATTGGATTTTTCTGCTTTGAAATTTCGAATGTTTTTAGTGATAGCCTTTTCCTCCTTTCTGTTCATCCCATGAATATATATCTCTTTTAACTTGACCCGTCGTTTCATTTTTGCTCCTTCATAAGTACTACAATAAGAAGTTGCATGAATGTTATCGTTATGGCCTATTACATCTTTTTGCTTCTGAAAAGTCACCTGCAAAGTTGAAAGTTTGTCAAAAATGTCATTAGATATTGTTAAAATTTTCTATCGTACTACTACCATTTTCACGGTTGTAACGTTTTTGACTGCGGGTATTAATGCTGCTGTTGCAACTGATCGTCGCATCGGCATTTATTTCCATGATTTCGTCGTAATAATGTCTTTATAACAGATAAGTTACAATAAAAACAGAATCGGAACCAGAAATCGCGGAAAAATATTGTGTGGCTCCCAAGATCAGGAAAAGTTTAATTTTATTAAGGATATTAACTAATTTATACTTGCATCTGCATCATTTTTTTTCAGCGAGAGCAGTATTACACAAGATTTTCTGGTGTATAAATTTTATGAGAAAACTTGGTACACCTTTAATACACGGGTAAGTTAAGTTTACATAACATGAGATTTATGACATACTTGGAATATAAATTGTAAACATTATAATATTTTGATATAAATTTTCATAGTCATAGATTCTTTCTGTACATTAAATTTTTTGCCAAAGTAATTCTGAAAAAATGCTTTAGGGCGGACTACCTCCAGGTCGAGTAGGTCATGTAGCTTGCGTTATCAATGATAAAATGTACGTATTTGGAGGATTTAATGAGTCAGGAACTTATCTACCTATGATAGTAATTGACTTAATAAGTTATGAGTGGTATAGACCTTTTGTAAGGGGCACAATCCCTTATGGAAGAAAATACCATTGCATTTGTATGTCTTTACAAACAACTTTTGTTGCATGCTTAATTTTCAGCTTTTATTTCTTTTTAAATATAAACATATGATTTTGATCACTTTTTATAGTTGAAGAAACTGAATAGTTGATAATCTTATTTTTTGAAGCATTTAACTAAGAATACTATGTAAAATTAAGTAAGTCCCAGTAGTGTGGAAGCTATTTAAACCACTTAATTCAGTATCTACACTGCTTAAACAAAATGAAGGTTATTAAGTTTATTAGCACAAAATCAATTAGTTTAGGGGTGCATAAAGATAAAATGTATATTACTGGCGGATATGACGTAATGTCATCAAAATATTTCAATAACATTTATGTTTATGATCCCGAAAAGTTTATTTGGGCTGAAATGCATACATCTGGTTTCGAAGGTCCATTACAACGACGTGTGCATTCCACTGTGATTGTTGGGACTCATGTATATGTGCTTTATGGTACAATGTAAGTATTTTACGCGCATTCGCTCATGTTTATCACTCTTTAATTTACTGTCTTAAATTTTATAGTGCTCTTAATTTTTGAAGTTTAACATGCTTTTTGTTACATTTTATCGTGAAATCAAACAGTTTTTTGATGCTAATGACTTATTTACATTTCTTCAAACGTGTATCATGAAAGATGACTTTTGAAAGTGTTAAATAAAGTCTTAATGTGATTATTATTTGAACTGTTAAGGTTAATTAAAAGCTTTTAGGTCATATCAGCCATATGGCCCACTTAATCAATATACGCCTGAAAAGCAGTGTGGTCTGCATGTGCTTTCTCTTGGTTAATTTTGAATCGTTGCAAATGAAATTTTAAATTCATTTTAAAAAACTGAATTTTTGTTGTTTTCATATACATTTTTAAATTAAATTAATCAAGCTCTTTGTTGCAGAATGCAACCTAAAAGAATTAGCTGCTGTTGCTGTGGTACGACATAATCTACACAATCTGGTTCCTAACGTTCTTCCGCATGAACTTAAGTTTGTTCATTTTATTTAATTGAGCAGCTACAAGCAGCATATCTTTTACTTATTGTAAGATTTAAAACTAAGTAATAACTCAAGTATCAAGAAGTTAGAACAATATTAACATCAAACGGAGTCAGCATTTGTTTATTTTGTTTTGTACTGCTTTAAACTCTATCATCGCATCATGAATTCAAACTCTTACAGTAATAACATTGTAAGTCTTTGTGCATTAAATTTCAGGTCATATCTTGCTTTGATTACTGAGCCAAATTCGGAATTTTGAAAGCTATGAAAACTATGAAAGGTACCCGGATATGAATCTATCTGCATGAACTATCATTATTAGCTATCAATATTAAAGAGTGAGTTGGATCATATTATCTGTTACTTTGCTGATTACTTGATTACTGAAAGTTTTTCGAATGATGTTTCAGCTTTGCTACATTCATATGTGCGTTTCGCAGCCATAGCAATGCCTTGAACTTCTCTATCTTTTTATGAAATGTTTAAATCTACAAAATTTATTATATCGCTTGAAACGTTATGGTTTTACTGTATTGTGTATTCTTTGAACACCAGTAAAATTTTAATTCAAATTAAACAATTCTTTTGATCGTCTTATAGCATAACCAATGATTACGCTAGTAGTTATTTCCTTCTAAATCATAAGCTATTACAAAAGCAGGCAAAAACTGTTTTCGATCACTGCATCATTTAACTGAAGTGTTCAAGAAATACTGATTATGTTTAAAATTGACTATCGCCGGTGTAACGAAAAAATCGACTCCTATTTGAAACAATATTAGTACTGTCGTTGTCTCCTCCTTTTTCAATTACAGTATCAAAGGCACCAAACTGTATTGCATAAAAAAAGAATGAAATTTTTTAGTAGGCTGAGAAAAAATAGCTGTATACTTTTTGTTGAGGTAGTGATCACTACTTTTGTAACGTTCCAACAGAACTCTTCTTGCTGAAGCTTTTTGCGGAGTAAAATTTGCATTTATTCACCTTCGTAAACATAGATCTCACATTTGCTACATTTATGCAAACAATAGTACTAGTGAAATGAAAACAGCGTATGATTAATATTATTCAGCATACTGATAGTATTAGAAACATCCAATCAACAACTGCACTCCATGAATGCAACCAGAAATTTGTGTCACTCGTTGCCTGTGTAGTCGCATTTATTCACTCAGACTCTTTGTATTTCATCAAAATTAGAATTCTCAAAACAAAACATTCTTCATAAATACTCGCTCATATTTTTGGTAGGTTGACAATTAAAGCAATAAATTAAATAAAAATAATTAAAGCGGTGAGACGAAAAAAGTAGTGAATCTTCATCCTCCCTGTGTTAAGAAAGATAATCGCAAAGGTTATTGGTCAAAAATAAGTACTGTGAGAGGAATCAGTTTCGCTACTCTACACAAATGGACCAAAAATGTCTTTAATGTTAATTGTTAATCACAAAATTTTTCCATGAAGTTCGTGTTCTTAGAATGTTGCATATCATAAAGTTTCATTTGTGGTAAGCATCGAAGTAAGGTCATGACTAAAATTACATTCATGTAAAGCTGCCGACTGTAATCTTTCAATTCATATTAAGAAAGAATGCAATATGATTTGAATAAAACTATTTTACCGTAAAGTTTCAGGAAGGACATGCACTGGAATTACTTTACGATGTTTTAGCACTGTGATAGCAGCAATATCTTTCAATTTCCAATCTACAAATTAATTATGATAATCACGAACAAAAAGTAATAAATACTTTTGTAAGACTTTGACTAAACGTTTGCAGTTCAATTTCAATAAATTATTCCTTCACTTAGTTGAAGTAAAATAATTAACCGAAATCTAGAACATGTAAATCGGTCATATCCTTAGCGTAGCGAATGGGATGCTCTAATGTGGGCCTCATTTGGCTGAAATAACGTTTAGTTTTGTTTACAAACAAATTATTTAAAACACTGCGTAAGATGAAGTAAAAATGCAATTCTATCATTCACATTATTGCTGCTAAATCAGAGAAATTGAACGTATAGAACTCAACTAGCTAAAGTGAATTTATCAACTTGCAATTTTGAGAACTTTTTTAATTTTCAGCAATAATTTATAATGTCGTTGGATTTATAATAACTTATAATGTCAGTAAAGAGCAATCATAACCATTGAGATATGCCTTTATAGCTTTTGTCTAATTATGTATGGCAGTATTAAATATAAAAGCAAAAAAGAGGCTACCAATACATACAAACTATAAAAGACTTACGCTATGCCAGCAAACAAGAAAAGGCGATTATTGACAACAACTGCGCCATGTCGATGTCGCTCACCTGGACCATTGAAACCACACGGTTTCAACTTTCTCCAAGACGACGTTTCTGGATCAAATTCATGAACGATTCCCATCTGCTGATCGTCAGTATTTTGAAATCCACCATATATATACATTTTATTTTTGTATACCCCTGAAATAATTCTTTGCAATCAAAATTAAAATTTTTGAACAGGATCATTTTTTCCATAACATATTAAACCTGTAAGATATATCTGTTATTAACAATTAATTATAACAATAGAAAGATAAAAATTAAGTTATTATCCACTTACTTTATCATTGTTATAATAATTATTTCATGTTCCGCTTCAAAATTAATTTTGTTGATTAAATATTCACTGTATTTCTTTTACATTTCCAATTATTTTTCCACCTTTATATATATATATATATGGAAAAAGTGAAAAAAACAAACTTACAAGCGCAATGGTTACTTCGTCTTATTGGTATATCGCCCCTTTCTTGCGGTCGCTCCCACTGATTTTTTTCTAAATTTAGGATCATCATTGACTGATCACGCAAATCATTACTAATCCCACCAAATACATACATTTTCGTCCCAATCACACATGACGTATGGAATACGCGGCCTACAGGTACATCACCCTGAATAGTATAATTATAATTCAGTAACATAATTTTCTTCTCTACATCAGTAATAATTATAAATAGAAGTAATTCAAATTTATGTCAAATAAAATGAACTTGAAACCGTACATTTATTCTTAGTAACCTCCATTTTCTTTGTTTAAAATTATAAGCATACGTCTCACGCGGCAATCTAAATTAAAACTTAAATTTAAGCTATTTACAAGCATAGCATTTTATTACCAGATTCAAAAGAATATTATAGATAAATCAAAAGTGTACTGTTAATGAAATCTAGAAATTGTAGAATTGGAGACCTGTAAGCATAGCATATCAAAGCTTCAATCTGCATAAAAATTTTACCTTCCTCTTAAATTAGTCTTCCCACCATATACGACCATCTCATCATTAAAGATAACAGCAGTATGATTTATACGTCCATCTGGTACCATACCATCGACCTTCACTTCGAACCAGCAATCATACACTGATAATGAATCCGTCAAATAGTTTAAATTGAATATTAAATGATGTGAGCATGAATGTAATGCCACTTAAAAGTTTTTTAGCCACATTGGAAATTGATTAACTCAAATTTTATCACAGGCATGATAAGATTTACTTTTATGCGCTAAAATTATTCAAAATATTTGCGCCTTTTTAAAAAAGTCAAAATTGTGCTTTATTTATCCCTAATCTAGAATTATAAAAGTAAGAAATTATCGTACATGGCATAAAACAAAACAACAAAGAACATATGCGATGTGAAGCTGTAAATCCTCCCCACATATAAATGCTTCCATCATATGCTACGACGGTATGTCCAGTCCGATTGTCTGGCATTCCAAAAGTGATTCCTAGTTTAATTAAATGATTTAATATACTTTCCCTTGATTCTGCAATGGATTGCTTGCGACTGCCTCTTTCTACCAAACTAGTGAAATTATTTAATTGCTTTCTGGACCAACGATAAGTCGCTGCAATTATGATTGATCAAAATTAGAAAAGTACAAAACTCCAGAAGTTTCGAATAATTATTAATTTTTTTCAACATTGTATTAAAACTGAAAATTTTTATTTTTTTAAGCAAAGGACTGAAAATTTCAAAAACACTTATTAATCATTTCATATATTTTGTTTACTAGCTCTAATTCAATTGAAAACTGAATTCATTTTCAAATTTTATCCAAGATTATGTTGATTGGAGTGAAATTTTCAAGCACGGAAAATTTAAGAACAAACTTTGAACTTGTATCGAAATTAAAAAATATGACGCATTATTTTGGATACTAATTTATATTTACTAAATTTTACATTTTTGTTAAATTTCTAATTCTATTTCTCAATAAAATTGAACAATATTTAATAATTAACGATTAATGCATTACTTAACTTTTTTAAACCAAATTAAAATTCAACAAAAATACAAAAAGTGGTAAATACGAACTGGTATCTAGAGCATAAACAGTGATTTGATTTCTAAGACTTCCATCATGGAGTGAATTTCCATAAACCCCAAATGAATAAATGATATCCCCGACTGCAGCAGCTGCGCGATTCAGCTTTGGACCACCACCGACAGAAACAGTCCAGTACACCATTGACGAAATGAACACTGCAATAAAATTCTGAACGTTTTGAGCACTTATCTAAGTATAAATCCTTGCAAGTTAACAAGAATTTTTGAATAATTTATGCATAAACTGGCAACGAGCAAAAAAAGTAACCAAATTTACATAATTCACGCAGCATATTTTTCATTTTTTGCAAAATAATGCATTACTGAGAGTATAACGAGAAGGAAAATGTTAACTTAGTGCAAGTACATTTTAACTTAATGCAAATTAATGATGATGATCTCAAGCTTAATTTGCAGATTGTTTGTTTCAAGTTACTTGCTAAACTTTTACCAATCTTGATATAACTTGTACAATTCACTTTTTGCTACTTTCGCTAGTTATTGAATAATTTATATGAATAATTATCAGAAACTAGTAAAAAAAAATTGTATTTTCAGCTTTATTTGAGACTTAAAGTAAATGTAAATAAGTAAGTATTAATGTTTTTTTTTTAAATTAAATGATACAAAACGGCAATAATTAGTACAAAAAAAAAATTAGTACGATTTATCGACAATAATTGTAAAAACAAGCCGTTATCATAAATTGAAGCATGAATTACATGCAGCAAGGAATTTTTGCTAATAATATCTTTGACTTGAAAAATTTTGTATTTTTTAATTTTGATTCAACAAAAAGGTAACGATAAGGAGGCAAAACATTACATATAAATTAAGGCGAAAAATAGGTTTAATCTTAGTAATAACTTTGTTGTTGACAAATATTATCAATAAAATGGGCACAATGATCGAATGATGATCAAAATTTACCAAATAGATCAATTACGCTTCATAATACCAAAAATAACCTAATAACGATAATAGTTATCATAATAATAATCATCTTGAAAGTGTATTTATCTGTAGTTGGTAGTGAAAGTTTGGAAAAAGTAGCAGTGGTGCATGACTGTGTGTAATACGTTTAGCTAAGATCAGAAACTTACGGTTAATGTAGGTGAACCTTATTATGTATCAAGCGTTCAAGAATATCGTCCACTCATTACCATTTTTTTCCCAGCAACAGGCCAAAGCATTTAGTTTTATCATACAGTGAATGTGATTAGCATGAACTGGAAATAATAAAGTATATATGCATGTATGTTAAGCTTAGTACAATCCTTTTCACAACATAATCAAGTAATAGAAAAAGTTTAGCAAAATATTTCGCTGAGAAAATCAAAAACTTTTTGAACAAAATCTCACACACTTCGAAACATATATCAAGTACACTACCAAGGAAACAATGAGATCAGTCATACTACCCTAAATAAATACCAAGTCTAAAAATACAAAATAAAAACCGTAAAACTTTTAATTGTTGCACTACTATACAGTATGTTCACATATCAGAACTTTTTGCTCAATTAATATCTGCCAGATGTATGTTCAGAAATTAATAACTAATATCGAAATCTGACTAATTAACCATTATTATTAATTATTCAGCAAATTTTTGCATATCTATGACATGTATTTCAACTACTAGAAACATAGATAAAGTCTTAACTGACTAACAAATTTCTTGTGCTTGATGTATAAATCTCGCACATAAACGTACAATGTGATTTATCTGTCACTCGTTTCAATCAATCTTCTATCCATTACTTCAGTCTTTCTGTAATAGCAAGCATACGTGCAAATGTCCACTAATATGTATGTTATATGTCCTTAATTGGCTGATATTTGAGGGGAAATCATAAATTTATTACTATCAATCAATCTACCAATCCACTGATGACTTCCTCTGCTTCTATATTTCACACATCTATCTGCCATTCATTTACCTGTCATATCTATTGCATATTAGTTAGACGCAATAGATATGACAGGTAAGTGAAATACATGTCATAGATATGGAAAAATTTGTTAGTCAGTTAAGACTAGTATATACATAGCCCAACTTATGCTACTGTATATCAATAACTTGACATGTATATTATTCAGCGTATAATATTTATCTTGATTACTGATGAGTTTAACAAGCATATACTATGCGTGTGAATTAGTGACTAATGGGCTGGATGCATAATGGGTGATGACAAAAAACTGTTCTCTAAATCACTTGCCACTTTTCTTTTTGTTTTTTCTGTTTATATTAAAAAAGTGCGCATTTTGATAGCAATGGAATTTCAAAATGGTCAGATTATTGTAGTGAATTCAAATAATTGTAATGCTTACGATTTAATAAACAATTTTATTTTTCGGATGACAGAAAATTACATTATAATTATATTATTGAAATAAAAAATTGAGAGCATAAATTTAAAGTTATTGGAAGTTAATTTTAAATAATATAATATTATTACATAATCAAGTATTAATATAAAAAATTGTCCTTACCGAAATGCTACCATTTTTTGATAATTAAGAAAATGGAATTTATTTTATTGTAAATTTTTATAGCATACATAAATGTGCAATTCTTACTTTGCAAAATGAATAATTAAGTATAAGAAAATTTTTGATAATGAAAATGCTATAAAGCTTTTAGTACATTTTGACGAAAACATTTTTTATATTTGTATAATTGATGAATGCTCGTTTGGTCGCTCCAGGCTACACTTTTCTGATGTTATTTTTCATAATTGTGAAGATGATATTTGTGGTTGATGGGCAAAAATATAGCCATAAAGATGCTTTCATAAAGGAGTTTAAGTCAGCTCTCAAAATTGGTATTCAATAAATTCATATTTATTTTAATCTATATACTCACTTAACTATTATACAGTTTTATTGATTATTGAAATTAATAATTTTCAACTTTCCCAAATCTAAAAATAATTAGTTTAATTGAATCAGAAACAAAACATGATTCACAGTACGAAAATTACAGCAAAAATTATCTTTTTGATTGCTTGATATTATTTTCAACTTTATACCGTCACTGATGATTATTAAGAAAATTAATTATTCCATTATATAGCAATTTTTTAGCAAGTGTATTTATAAAATATAATATTTATATTTAATAAACCAACCAATCAAATGATTTTGCAGATTATATACACTAAGTCATAATTAATTACAACTCATCTCATTATTATATGATGAAACAATTTATTATTTAAGTGAATATTAATGATGGAATGATGCTCATGTAAAAAATGATGTCAAAAAAAATTGTACTATGTTTTCATTCTCATTACTCTAATTTATTGATTGAAAAATTGTACCACAAATTTGAATTTATGCAAATTTTTGACCATAATTTTATTTTGGTGAATTATCATCTGGCTGCTTCCATATTGGCTACAATTGGTGCACTCATTACAATGATAATTTTTTCGCTTGCTTTTTTCAATTTTTTCTGTGGCCCACCAAAAAAAAGACACAGATCGAATAGAAAACGTTCTTAAGTACCATGAAGTGAAGAAAATCAAATAAACTTTATTATAAGGTGATAGTTTAGTTTGCATTTATGTGCCCATTTGCAGATAATTATTTAAAAAAAGTTATGGTACGAAATATAAAGTTTGAAAACAACTTACCTACTTACAAAACTGTCAAAATCAGAAATTTATCCTTGATTGAGCAAGAATGAGTTGCTAATAATGGTTTGTTGAAAAGGCAATTATTATTTAAAGTTTTATCAATGCTTTTACTTGATCGTTCTTAATTTATTAGTAAATGTGAGAAGATCAGCAATACAATAACATAGATATGAACAAATTGAAAGCAACTTTTTAAAGTATACAATTATGTTTTTGTTTATTTTTTTATATTATTTTTTATTTTCAGAATTTTTGTGGCAACAACGAATTTTTTATGACATGAACACTTTGGATGCAGAACTTACAGTTTAGTAGTAGAATGGACATAGAATTATCAGTAATTTATTGCTGTTGGACTAAATTGTTTAAAAAAAGCCTTGCAATACGAGCAATGCGAAAAAAATAACGTCTGAAAGAATTATCCAATTAAATTATGTGCAGACATTTGAGCGATTTATCGTTTAGTATTGTGATAGTGACAAAATCCATTATCGGTGATTCAGTTGTTACAATGTTACTTTTGTATGTGATGCATTTTTGAGTCCACTACAATTTTACATACTGTTATTGCAGATCTAGTTAATATTGTGAATAATACAAATAATCTCAAATTTTTTAACGCCGATAAGACAGAGCGCAGCCTAAATGATCTACAGAATGATTACTTGAATGTAGAATTCTGTAAAGATCTCTCAACTTAGTGAAAGTTTCGATTTTAATTCTGAGGTGTAACTCTCAAGCAACGAAGATCTAAAGTTCTCACATGTATTTGCCACTGTATTTTTTAGTATATTTCATGGAAAGATGAGAGATTTTTCGTATTTATTATTGCTCTTAATGAATAATAACTTTTATATGTTGCCTGTATATATAAATAATTTTGTGAAAAGTAATGATATTTGCTTTTTCTTTTCAAAGTGTCATGAAACAGAAGCAAGTAGACAATCACTGATATGCAGATGTTAAACTGATTATAGTAAAAATTATAAGCTATATAAACTATTAAACATTATAGAACTTGATTCAATTTATACACTTTTTTATTGCTTTAATTTTTTTGTTTTAAAATAATTTATTGTTCATTATCATTTATTGAAATTCATTAATTTAGATTGATAATTCCATCTGGTAAAATTTCTCCCTTATTCTTTTTTACAAAAATCATTATTATTTGGTGTTTGCATCAATTATTTGAATGAATGAATCTATTCTGTACTACTCATTTTGAAAAAAGTTTATTCGATATTTTATGACTTTAATGGTAGTTCTTAACTTGCAAAAAAAAAGATTCGAAAATCCCTCTTGACAGAAAGAAGAAAACATTACGAACGCTTAAAATTTATAAAGCCAATATAAGCAAGAAGTAAGTAATGATTTTTGAGTCAAAAATATATGACCGAAAATGATTAGCTGCAGTTATCGAGAGGAAGCAGTTAATGTTACTGAATAATAATAAACAATTTCAGAATGTGGAGATTAGTTTTAATTTTCG